TTTAAATACCATGTAACTGCAGCCTATGTATAGATAAAACTTCTTTTAAATTACAACAATTATGTAACAATTATGTCTTATACTTTAACCAATCTTGTATTAAGAGTCTAGTCTACCCGGAGAAAAACCAACGTGGTCGGGCAGGTGATCCGATACATTTTCACGTCAGATCAGGGAATCGAACCCCGTTTGCCTTGGTGAAAGGCGAGTGCATGCGTTAGCCACTGCGCCACCGACTACCCGGAATCTATGTAGCCACATGTAGCCTGTTCAGTGAGAACTTTTGGACAGCCTAAAGATCGTTTGTTTCTCCTGTACAAACGATCACCAGAACAATTTTATTAGCAAGGAACAGTCGTCTTCTGCAAGGTAAGTGTGCCCAAAAATCATAATATTTATTATTATACCTCTACTTATTTTACACTATACAAAAGTAATCACATAAACAAGCTATTTCCCCTCTAACTGCATGCCAGGGAAATAGTTCGTCTGGAGGGGTGCGATAGTTTTGAAACTATTTCCCTCGGAAAATGGAGGAAATTGAGTGACGTCGTGGGCGGGCCTGACCGAATATTGACCAATCCGCGCAATCGAATTACGTCGGCTATTTCCGGCCAGCGGAGCCGGTACTTTCTGGACCGACCTTTACCTCGAAATGTTGTTGACAGACGACAACAGAAATGGCGACCCCCAGGTTTTCTGTGTTGGACAAGAGCGTTTTGTTGGACATATTGGAGGCAAAAGACAGTTGGAACACAAAAAAAAACAGTACAGGCATCCGTTACTTTGGTCTCTAGCTACCTCACTGAAAAGGGTTTGGATATCGCGGACATGGAAAATTTGTTGTCTAATAATATTTAGAATATTGTAAGGGAGTGTTTGTATCGGTATAATAAAACAGTTGAAGTATGGGTATTTCGGGATATAGCAAGTTTATGATCCCCCTCGTCCAGGACTATTTCCCTCGGCTTCGCCTCGGGAAATAGTCCTGGCCTCGGGGGATCATAAACTTGCTATATCCCTCATACCCATACTTTAACTGTTAANGCTTTCCACTATTTCTTCATTTGTAACAAATATAGTAAATATAGAGTCTTTTTCAAAATTGTATAGCATTTCTTCCACTGAGTTTAGCTAGGCTTCTCTGTGGAAGTGAAATATTGAACGATCAGGAGAATGTGGAAATACTCTTGCATGCCAAACTATATATCGTAAACACAAGATGGTTTAATTAAAACTTATTACTTATTAACACTTTGTTTTACTTCAATCGGTATCATACACCCCCTCCCCGCTGTTTTTTTTACCTAAATACGATTGTATTTAATTTGTCTATCTGTCTGTTCATGTCTGCCTGTCTTTCCGTCCGTCTGCCCATGTCTGTATGTCTATCTGTCTGTCTGTCCGACGTCATGAGTGTTGCTTGCTTGTCTGTCTCTTTGTTTTTCACACTATAACTTTATATTTTGATATTATGTTACACTTAGCCGTCTATCACTGTAGAAAGGGCGTCGATAATGTTCATGTAACGTGTGCCCAATCCCCTTTGCTGTATGTATATTTATGACAATAAAATACGTTTAAACTAAAAATAAAACACTCATGTCTAAACAGTTCCGCGGTATCACGCTAGTTGATTCTGTGTTACGCAATCACGTGTTTAAATTTGCTGTCATGCATCAGCACGTATAGAGTAAATGTTGACAGAATAAACTGTATCCTTTTTGTAAAAACTTAAATAATTCATCTTACATCTTTACGGCTATAGCTTATGTAACACATGTACAGTAAACCGCCATATTTTCACAGAAGTGTTTTTGATTAGAAATTGATTTTCATTCTGCCCAGTGTTAATTGCAGTCGATAGGAAGTAAGGAAACTCTGGCCGAAAACGTCTCACAGCAATTTATTAAGGCCAGCTTTTTTGTTGTACATTATCGTATCAACGGGATATTTGCAGACAACAATTAATTATAATTTATGATATCTTGTAAAAGACTGATCAATAAATGAATTAAAAAATTATATCTTTGTATGTTTTGCTGGAAAAAAAACCCCACTTAAGTACCACCAATCTCAGTCATTAGAAATTATGATTAGGACAACTGCCCCTATTACACGACAGGTACATTTCCACATTACGCTGGCATATTCAATATAACAATATTTTCCCTGCGGCTGACTAGGATTTTTCTTAGAAAGGGCAGTCTGCTGTTTTATTGTACGAAAACGATTAGTGTCAGTAGATCATATATTTTCCCTCATAAGATTTAAGAATAAATAAATAGCAAAATTGCAAACAACACAGAATTCTAGGGAGCAACGAACTTCATTAATTGTACGTCACTTACAATTCTTTGACAATCAGGTCATAATATAAAGGCACATAATTATAATTGTAGTTTTATAGTTCATACATAAACAGTTACTTTAAAACAATCTTTATAACAAAACTGTTAAAACTGTCATTGCATTGCGTTCACTACAGATTCGGTGAAACTCTGTTTCACATGTCGGCATTGCGTTCACTACAGATTCGGTGAAACTCTGTTTCACATGTCGGGAGTTCTCTGTTTGAAGGAATATTCCCGTACTATTTACAAAAAAAGGTTTTGGCCTCGTGTACTTATATTCTGTACAATGTCCTTACTTTCTGTACAATTTCCTTATTTTCTGTACAATTTCCTTATATTCTGTGCATTGTCCTTATTTTCTGTACAATTTCCTTATTTTCTATACGATGTCCCTATTTTCTGTACAATTTCTTATTTTCTGTACAATGTCCTTATATTCTATACAATGTCCTTTATTTCTGTAATTTCCTTATTTTCTGTACTATTTCCTTATTTTCTTTACAATGTCCTTTTTTTCTATACAATGTCCCCATTTTCTGTACAATTTCTTATTTTCTGTACAATGTCCTTATTTTCTATGCATTGTCCTTATTTTCTGTACAATGTCCTTATTTTCTGTACAATTTCTTATTTTCTGTACAATGTCCTTATTTTCTATGCATTGTCCTTATTTTCTGTACAATGTCCTTATTTTCTGTACAATTTCTTATTTTCTGTACAATGTCCTTATTTTCTATGCATTGTCCTTATTTTCTGTACAATGTCCTTATTTTCTGTACAATTTCTTATTTTCTGTACAATGTCCTTATTTTCTATGCATTGTCCTTATTTTCTGTACAATGTCCTTATTTTCTGTACAATTTCTTATTTTCTGTACAATGTCCTTATTTTCTATGCATTGTCCTTATTTTCTGTACAATGTCCTTATTTTCTGTACAATTTCTTATTTTCTGTACAATGTCCTTATCTTCTATACAATGTCCTTATTTTCTGTACAATTTCTTATATTCTGTACAATGTCCTTATTTTCTATACAATGTCCTTATTTTCTGTACAATGTTCTTATTTTCTGTACAATGTCCTTATTTTGTGTTCAATTTCCGTATTTTCTGTACAATTACCTTATTTTCTGTACAATGTCCTTATTTTGTGTTCAATTTCCGTATTTTCTGTACAATTACATTATTTTCTATACAATGTCCTTATTTTATGTACAATTACCTTATTTTCTGTAGAATGTCGTTATTTTCTGTACAATGTCCTTACTTTCTGTACAATGTCCTTATTTTCTGTAAGATGCCCTTGTCTTTGTCAGTCCAAGGTCGTTTTGTCTGCATACCACTCTTATTTCATTACAAACTTGTATGATAATACAATCACTGTACAATGTCCTTATTTTCTATGCATTGTCCTTATTTTCTGTACAATGTTCTTATTTTCTGTACAATGTCCTTATTTTGTGTTCAATTTCCGTATTTTCTGTACAATTACCTTATTTTCTATATAATGTCCTTATTTTCTGTACAATTTCCGTATTTTCTGTACAATTACCTTATTTTCTTTACAATTTCCTTATTTTCTGTACAATGTCGTTATTTTCTGTTCAATTTCCGTATTTTCTGTACAATTACATTATTTTCTATACAATGTCCTTATTTCTGTACAATTACCTTATTTTCTATATAATGTCCTTATTTTCTGTACAATGGCCTTATTTTCTGTAAGATGCCCTTGTCTTTGTCAGTACAAGGTCGTTTTGTCTGCATACCACTCTTATTTCATTACAAACTTGTATGATAATACAATCACTGTACAATGTCCTTATTTTCTATGCATTGTCCTTATTTTCTGTACAATGTCCTTACTTTCTGTACAATGTCCTTATTTTCTATGCATTGTCCTTATTTTCTGTACAATGTCCTTACTTTCTGTACAATGTCCTTATTTTGTGTTCAATTTCCGTATTTTCCGTACAATTACCGTATTTTCTGTACAATGTCCTTATCTTCTATACAATGTCCTTATTTTCTGTACAATGTCATTATTTTCTTTACAATTTCCTTATTTTCTGTACAATGTCGTTATTTTCTGTACTATGTCCTTATTTTGTGTTCAATTTCCGTATTTTCCGTACAATTACCGTATTTTCTGTACAATGTCCTTATTTTCTATGCATTGTCCTTATTTTCTGTACAATGTCATTATTTTCTTTACAATTTCCTTATTTTCTGTACAATGTCGTTATTTTCTATACAATGTTGTTATTTTCTGTACAATGTCCTTACTTTCTGTACAATGTCCTTATTTTGTGTTCAATTTCCGTATTTTCCGTACAATTACCGTATTTTCTGTACAATGTCCTTATCTTCTATACAATGTCCTTATTTTCTGTACAATTTCCGTATTTTCTGTACAATTACCTTATTTTCTATACAATGTCCTTATTTTCTGTACAATGTCCTTATTTTCTGTACAATGTCCTTATTTTCTGTAAGATGCCCTTGTCTTTGTCAGTACAAGGTCGTTTTGTCTGCATACCACTCTTATTTCATTACAAACTTGTATGATAATACAATCAGATAATATACAAATAACCAAGACACAATAATACAATCAGATAATATACAAATAACCAAGACACAGTGATGAACTAAATGAAGAATTTATTTCCTGGAATCGATAAATAAAAAATAACAGTCATTTCAGAAATGTGCATGATATATGGCTTTGCTATTATTCTAAACTTAAATGTTGGGAATGTTTAGAACTGTTTTCCCCAAGATGAGGAGTATCTAAGAGTAATTCAGCTCCAGTGGTTTTCTCAATTAACAAATTCAAGAATAATTGTTTCAGAAAGATTTGTACATCAAATAGTTTTCATATATTATTGTCATTTTGAAAAGCTGTACTAATAAAAAAAGCTTGTGAAATAAAAAATGTGAAGTACACATTATTAATATTGCTAAATAACATGACTTACACCTGAGCTATTGAAATCTTTGTCAAATTATTATTATTTTTTTGTATGGTTACTGTATAACACTCTTAAATTTGCGGGGTCAGTAATTCGCGGGGTCAGTATTTCGCAGTTTCGTATTCAGTACATATTCGTTAAATTTGGCTGTGCACTCAAATCCCATGTGAAGTGCAAAGTATTTTGAGTGTAATCATTTAAGGGTTAAACCTTGAAATATATGTGTAGGTAAACCGTTTGAAAACACTGATCCCTAGGGTCGTCATCCGTCAGTGACTTCACTAGAAAGAAAATCAAATGTGTATGTACCTTTGTAGGAGTAAACTGTAATCAAGTAAACATCTACTGTGTACACAATCAATATGTTGTGGCCACTTATATGTAAGTGTTGTTTTTACATTCCATGCCCAGCTGTCACATGTTGTGATAAGTTCCGTAAAAGTGGTTTACAGTTTCGAAAATTCGAAACATGAATTTGTGGATATAAGTCAAAGCGGGAATATAGCTAAATTAAGACCCCCGCGAAATATAACAGATATACACAGTATTTCAAAATGGTCGAATCATCCTATTCCACATAAAGCACCATATAAATACTTTTCATCATTGTTTTAATCACCATCTCAATGAAATCACAATGAAATGACCCGTCGATGTTTTAGTATCATGTGGAATTCAATTCTTAATGTAAGGTAGAGTTAACAGATCATTTTTATAAGTACGAAGTTAAAAAAGTTCTTGACAAATTATGTCATAATAATAAAACTAGAGAATGACTTTGACATGAATCTTCCCGTTCCAATGCAAATCAGTCATTGTTGGCCACTTTCTATAAAAAGTAATAGTGACCTTGACATAACCACTTTGACCTTGGCATCCTGAAGTAGGAACTCATTTGAGGTATTCTCATACTAAATCTTTTGCATGAAGCTTGTTAGAGCGAAATCACTAAATAATCGACAAATTTCTATAAATAACCACAGTAACAGTGACCTTGTTTTTAACCTTTGAACCCTGAAATAAGAACTCACTCCAGGTATTTTCGTACTTGACCTTTGTATAAAGTTTGGTCAAAATTTGTGAAGAAATGTAGTAGAATGAAGACACTGAATCATGAAAGAATAGGACAGAACGGGACAGGACGGATAATCCTGCCCCCTAAAATAGCGGCCTGTAAAATTTTGATTTTTCATAGGAAACAATAAAACAGTTTTTCACTACATCCTCAACACGGAGAGAAAGACGAACACACTGTAAACCTTTGGCCTTCTTACATTCCTACACTGATGATAACTTTTAAGCCTTTTGGGTTTTTTTCGCAGCCCTAAATTTTTCTGGATTTGCTAAAAAAAAATGATGAATCAATTTTGTGAGATCTGTGTTTTAAGATTTCAGGTCAAGTGGACTGTAGACATGACAAAATGTGTAACGGTAAGAATGCATTATTTTTTCAAATTGTTTCCCACAAAAATTGCAAAAATCAGAATCCCCTAAAAAAATGTTAAACAACACTTTTATAGTGTTCACAAATATATTTTTCACCCTAAGTCCACATGTTTAAGGGTAAAAAGTGCAAAAAAATGAAATGAGGTTTAAAATAAGAATGTAACAATAGTGAAAAATGTATAGAAAACCTTCAAATAAAATGGCAATGAAACTTTTATTCTTAACTGATTTAACCCATGATATTTTAACCCCTGCTATTTCATAATGAACTATTCCAACCTTTGAAGAGTTCAAATATGTCTTCAGGGGTGAATAAGTTGATGGTATTATCTTTTGTTTGTTGCTAAATTAACTACTAATCTAAAATATCTTTGGTTCACACTCGTAGACACGTTAAAATGATATGTAACTTTTTTCTTTGTTCTGAGAAGGGATACTCCTAGGGGAGGCAGGGACCTCTTACTATAGGGGGCTTCTTTGTTCTGAGAAGGGATACTCCTAGGGGAGGCAGGGACATCTTACTATAGGGGGCTTCTTCACATACATCCTGGCCAACAAGTGTGATAAATAAAAGTTGATAAACATTTGTTTCATTTATTCTTATAAAATTAATATTCTTAATATTTATTTATTTATCTCGCCAAACAAATAGCATTAAATCACAGTAGTTTACGTAACTTTTTACAACCCAGGCTATATATATCATCCGTCTATAGAAAATGGCTTGGCGGATCTCACAACTCGCAATGATCCCTAGAGCAATACAGTAGCTATGCTAAACATTTACAGAAAACATCCTGAAATGTTTCAAATAAAAGCAACATTGTTCCCGCTGTGTATGAAACTTTTCATAACTCTTGAGTTTGGAATCATTTGCTTGTTGACAGTAGATTATCGCCTATCATAAGAATGATATTGTCGGGAGTTTTTATTGCTGTTTGATCAAGAATATTAAATATGAATTATGATGTATAATGTATATGCTTAGTGGTAGATCCCCGGGTGGAGGACAAAATGAATTGCCAGGTGAGGTATAATGGTTTCCTAACAATAATGGAAGATCTTGTGGAAGCATGCTTTTTTACCAATATATAAAAATAATTTGTAATTTAAACAAGAGGCCCAAGAGGTCCTGTATCGCTCACCTGAATATTTAAGCAGTCATAGCAAAATATTCTCATTAATTATTATATTGCACTAAAAATATTTCCCTCGCAAACTTTGTTGACTCCATCTGTTGAAACTACCAGCAAAATATTATTACAAGATTCTATGCTTTTTGATTCTTCTTCAGAAGTTGCTTGACATTTTTTTCCCTGTGATCTTGTAAGTAGGTCAATGTCATTTTCCTTCTCAAATTGGTTAGCTCTATTCCAAAAAGCTACCAGCCAAATCTTATGAATCCATTCCTTTTAGTTCTCAAGAACAAATCCATTAAAATGTTGTTGACCTCTGTGACCTCTAAAGTAGGTTGAGGTCATTTTCATTTGCAAACTTTGGTGAGCTCTATCCCGGGAAGTCACCAGCCAAATATTATAATTTTATGCCTTTTAATTCTTCAGAAGAAGCTGTTTGAACTGTTTGACATATTTGAACGCTGTGACCTTGAAAGTAGGTCAAGGTCATTTTCATTCGCAAACTTTGTTTGGCTCTTTCCCAGGAAGCCACCTGCCAAATATTAAGATTTTATAACTACCAGTTCTTCAGAAGAAGTCGTTTAAAGTGTTTGACATATCTGCCTCATGTGACCTTAAAAGAAGGTCAAGGTCATTTTCATTCTCAAACTTTGTTCGGCTCTTTCCTAGGAAGCTACAAGCCAAATATAGAGATTATATACCTTTCAGTTCTTCAGAAGAAGTCGTTTGAAGTGTCTGACACATTTGACTCCTGTGACCTTGAAAGAAGGTCAAGGTCATTTTCATTCTCAAACTTTGTCGGGCTCTATCCAAGGAAGCCATCAATCAAAAATAAAGATTCTATACCTTTCAGTTCTTCAGAAGAAGTCATTTGAAGCTTTTGACATATATGACCCCTGTGACCTTGAAAGTAGGTCAAACTAGTTTTCATTCTCAAACTTTGTTGGGCTCTATCCCAGGAAGCCACCAGCCAAATATAAAGATTATATACCTTTCAGTTCTTCAGAAGAAGTCGTTTGAAGTGTTTGACACATTTGACCCCTGTGACCTTGAAAGAAGGTCAAGGTAATTTTCATTCTCAAACTTTGTTGGGCTCCATCCAAGGAAGCCATCAGCCAAATATGAAGATTCTATACCTTTTAATTCTTCAGAAGAAGTCGTTTGAAGTTTTTGACATATTTGACCCCTGTGACCTTGAAAGTAGGTCAAACTAATTTTCATTCTCAAACTTTGTTGGTCTCTATCCCAGGAAGCCACCAGCCAAATATAAAGATTCTATACCTTTCAGTTCTTCAGAAGAAGTCGTTTGAAGTGTTTGACACATTTGACCCCTGTGACCTTGAAAGTAGGTCAAGGTCATTTTCATTCTCAAACTTTGTTGGGCTCTATCCCAGGAAGCCATCAGCCAAATATGAAGATTCTATACCTTTTAGTTCTTTAGAAGAAGTCGTTTGAAGTTTTTGACATATTTGACCCCTGTGACCTTGAAAACAGGTCAAGGTCATTTTCGTTTTCAAACTTTGTAGGGCTCCTACCAACAAAGCTTTCAGCCAAATATCATGACTCTAGGCCTGTCCGTTCTTCAGAAGAAGTTGTTTCAAGGAAAAGTTGACGGACGAGGACGGACGGACGCCGCGCCACGGCATAAGCTCACTTGGCACTTCGTGCCAGGTGAGCTAAAAATCATTCTTGTTTTAAAATAAAGATATAAGATATAAGAGACAGAGATTTTCTGAAAACATTATTTCTTTACCTCTCCTTCACCTTTAGAGATCTGAATATGTCATCAACACATATAAATGATGTTATTATAATCATTAGCCGGTAAATGTTATCGACACGTATAAATGATGTTATTAACACTAGATGATTATGTTATCGACACGTATAAATGATGTTATATAATCATTAGCTGGTAAATGTTATCGACACGTATAAATGATGTTATTAACACTAGATGATTATGTTATCGACACGTATAAATGATGTTATATAATCATTAGCTGGTAAATGTTATCGACACGTATAAATGATGTTATTAACACTAGATGATTATGTTATCGACACGTATAAATGATGTTATATAATCATTAGCTGGTAAATGTTATCGACACGTATAAATGATGTTATTAACACTAGATGATTATGTTATCGACACGTATAAATGATGTTATATAATCATTAGCTGGTAAATGTTATCCGGAAGCCGGGTGCGCTGCCGATACCATCCGTGGTGAACTTTACAAGCATTACATTTCCACTGGCAACTAGAGTTGCTGGCGTCTCCTGAAACATAAGAAGCATTTGAACTTGAACAGCAGGGCTAGCTCTGGGTCTTGATTCAGTTTTGCCAAATAGTAATTTATGAACAAACAGCCGCGCGTGATTGCGTGCGACCATGGATCAGTGCCCCAACCCCCTTTCAGTTTTAATTTAATTTCAAACATGCCATTATATGCATTCTAATGTATCCTAGACACTAAAACAATAATTGAAATGAATTAAATTTTCTATTTTATGATCAAAACCCCCCAAAATACTGCAAACAATTTCTATTACAGGTTTGTATTAAGTTTCATGCAATTTAAAGTATTTGTGTAAGAGTTATCTCACAGAAACCTTTGTGTATATGACAAAACCTCACAGGCAACACCGGCAAAATTCATTTATATACCAAACGCGTTCAGTGTACAAACACAGGTACCTCATCAATATCTGGGAGCATCACCTCCTGTGTATCTCAGAGTAACACCTCCGTGTAATTTCTATGTATCTGAAAATTGCAGCTTGGATTTTTCTGCAGGTTTTAAGAAAATATTACTGATCTTTTTAATGAGCACATTTTAATATTATCCAATCTTTACAGATGTATTTAATCATTACAGTAATTATAATGCACATTCTCCTCTGTGCATGTATGCAAGATAGAAACGACCTATTCAATATTCACACTGAAATTTCTATTTATCAATATGAATCAATAGTGGCCACTTGGTACTGTGAATATTCAACTATTCTGAGGTTGAAAATAACCAATTCACTGTTTCAATACAACATGAAATATCAAAAAGTGAATTCTAAAATCAACTCATTCACCCCTGAAATTTCATAATGAACTGTTCCAGCCTTTGATTTGGAAGAGTTCAAATTGTCTTCAGTGGTGAATGAGTTAAACAGTACTGATTTAGTTTAATGCCGTACATTGCCACAGTATTGTCCAAAGATTGGCTGTTGCTCCGAGTTTCCATTATATACAGCTACGGAGTCCCTGTTACAGTCCGGACTACCGATCAGGTTCAGATCGGTAAAGGTTGCACTGACAACGCGCCGGCCTGGTACGGTGATGAGCCAACGACAGCTGTGTCGTTCTGTGTAGTTACCAGGGTAACCAGGGCTGGTCAAACTCCCGTTGATTCCTGTGATATTACCTCCACAGCCCATACCTGTAACAAACGGGATTGATAAAATTTATCAGACATTTTCCCCCCAAAAAATTATTAAAATCATGTAGCAGTAAAAAGACATATTTAAGACAAATTCATTTCAAAATGTAACCGAGATTAAGGGAAATAATAACCTGCAGAAAATTTGAAGCGAGGATGAAAAGGGGGGATAAATCAGGAAATGTACAAATAAATGTTATTCAACCATATTTGATCAATATCTTTTTCACAATTGTATAGATGTGATATATAAACAAACTTGTTTCACCATTGGTTTTTTAAGTGATTTTGATAGCCTTACGTTGGTCGCTACTTTATCATTACTTTTTCACAGATGTATAATACAGCACATGTCTAGAATTTTGAAAATAACAAATAATTTGGTTACTGTTTTATTTTTGAATTTGAAGTATTTTTGAGGCCAAAGTCATTTTTTTGGTCATAATATCCTTTAGTCAAATTCTTTCAGCCATTCAGGAAAAGTAGTCTTCTAGTGAAAACAGACGACGGGCAGACAATGAAAGCTGCACCACAGCATAACACTGATCAGCTCACGTGGCCCTTTGGGTCAGATATGCTAAAAAAAATATGTGTAAACAGTCACCTGAATTGGACGCCGTATAGGTAATGTCAAATCCTGGATGAGTCAATGATCCGTCGGTTCGGAATCCCAGCCACAATGAATTTCCAGTGCCAAAGATGGGGTCGGGTATAGCGAAGCCACACAGAGTAGCTGCTACAGGTGCTGTAACAGCTGATCCATTTCTCACCTACATCAACAGTAATACGACCCAGTTAACAACAGGCAAATGGCCGTATCACGGGTTACCTGAGTTACGTTGTTTCTGCTACTGATGTGTACACATAGCAAGATATAGTACATAAAAATTGCGGATTCCCTGACTAAATGATGTTTGGGGGTGACCAACATTTAAGCAAGTAATGTTTTAGCAAATGTTATTATGGTCCTATAACACACATTGCTATTGATGACAAACTTAATAAAGCATGGCAGGGCTTTATGTAACTATGTCAGCAATAGAAATATGTGTTATAGGACCATAACAACATTTGCTAAAACATTCATTATTTATATTTACACTTTGATAGAGTATTTATGCTTTATTAAGTTATTTCGAACAGTTCTTTGAACAGCAAATTAAGAAATTGATGACTTTACAACAGGACCATAACAACATTTGCCTTCTCAATGCATTGCAATGGAGGATGCGGAGTAAATGTAAATATATATACATGGAGCGTGTTACTGTTATATAACAGACAAAGCCTGTTATATATATACATAGAGCGTGTTACTGTTATAAAACAGACAAAGCCTGTTATATATATACATAGAGCGTGTAACTGTTATAAAACAGACAAAGCCTGTTATATAATTATATACATAGAGCATGTTACTGTTAGAAAACAGACAAAGCCTGTTATATATATACATAGAGTGTGTAACTGTTATAAAACAGACAAAGCCTGTTATATATATACATAGAGTGTGTTACTGTTAGAAAACAGACAAAGCCTGTTATATATATACATAGAGTGTGCTACTGTTAGAAAACAGACAAAGCCTGTAATATATATACAGAGAGTGTGTAACTATTATAAAACAGACAAAGCCTGTTATCTATATACATAGAGCGTGTTACTGTTATAAAACAGACAAATCCTGTTATATATATACATAGCGCGTGTTACTGTTATAACACAGACAAAGCCTGTTATATGTATACATAGAGCGTGTTACTGTTATAAAACAGATAAAGCCTGTTATTTATATACATAGAGCGTGTAACTGTTATAAAACAGACGAAGCCTGTTATATATATACTTAGAGCGTGTTACTGTTATAAAACAGACAAAGCCTGTTATATATATACATAGAGCGTGTTACTGTTACATAACAGACAAAGCCTACATGTACAATCCCAGTATACCAGATATTAAATGGTGAGTAATATAGAATTAAAATATGCCATAAGCCTGATGATACCCCCAGGTTTGTACAGGTATATTACTAGGAAATTCAAGGCAGTTTTCAGTAAAAATAAAGCTGAAATTTATCTGCTGCCATTTGTAAATTTCTAAAATACACAGATCTGGATGTTAAACCTGTATGTCTCTAAGCTCACCATATAAACACCAAACAACACTAAATCTCACTCTGCTTGGTAGTCCGAAAATTTCAAAATAAACTTGCAACAAATATTTCATTTTCTTGTATTTACTGAACATATTTTAAGAGAATAACATCAAAAAGCCACCAGAATTAATATACAATCACAGTTTCATCAAATTCAGAGTTAATAGTTATATTTAGGTACTTTTAAGGCCTTTTTGTCAATTTTTGGGATTTTCCAGGGCTGTATGAACGCTCTACCTGAAAAAAAGGATGTTAATTTTGATATTGAAATACTTAATTTATTCATTGGCTTCAGCAATGAAGATATCCAGCTTTTATCAAAGATTTTCAAGTAAGTCATTTTTATTTACCTGAGGAGGTCAAGGTTACCGAGGACCTGAGCAGTCGTACTTCACATCGGTCTCCACAAAACTTACGTTTTGTGCATATTATACAGAATTTTCCGGTGAAAAATTTGGACATGCCATTTGTCTTACAATAGGAAACGTATACTGAGCTTTGGATGTAAGAAGTAGAATGGTTTTACAGTGAAATAGACAAGGTGTTTTTTTTCACGTAACAAAGACTGTTCTCGATATGCTTGAGTGACCAAGGTGGTGACCACTGTCAACGCACGTACACATACCCGTTTTGAAGACGTATAGGTAATCTAGCTATACACCTGTAGGTACCTGAACACGAGCTAATAGTACAAGTGAACTATAAAATATACACCGTGGACTATGCCGTCATCTCGGAGTACCAGTACAAGTGCCAGCGCTAAAGGGAAAAATAGATTGAGTGATGTTTCGTGTAACACTACAGAGATGGAGGACAAGTTAGACCAAATAAACAAGACACTTCTCACTTTGATGACAAGGGAGGATATGGTGTTCCAGATGAACAAACTCAAAGAGGAAATTAGACACGAAAACAAAGAAATAGTAGAAAGATTAGAAGGACGAATGTTTGACTTGGAAACAGAAAATGAAGATTTAAAAGAGACAATATCGAAATTAGAAAAGCAAGTGATCGACACAGAAGAGAGACAGAATGAATTATATCATCTACACAACGACCTGGAGCAGCAAGGAAGAAAGAACTCTATCAGAATTTTAGGACTGGAGGACATTGATAGAAACGAAAATGTGGAGGAGTGTGTCACGAAAGTTGTGAAGTTTGTGAACGAAGACCTGAAAGTGAAAGTTCTTAGTGAGGACATAGATATCGCACACAGACTTGGTCCTTTCGTCAGCAGAAGACCGCGTGCGATTATTTGCAAATTCACTAACAGGAGGAAAAAGTTTGAAGTGCTGAAGGCTAGGAAAGTACTGAAGAATTCTGGCAGACATGTGTTTGAGGATCTGACGCGACAAAATCAACAAACTCTTACGCAAGCATACAAACTAGACTGTGTAGAGCATTCGTGGAGTGTGGATGGCAAATTGTTCCTGAAACTGAAAAACGGTAAGAAAAGGCGGCTATTCAGAGAGACAAATTTGACAGAGTCCTATTTGACGAACGATGCTAATTTCTAGCCCAGCAATAAGTGATATGAACATTTAAAACTAATAATGAAATATGTGTGAACAAACCTTACTTTATGACAACATTTATATGTTTTTATATTAATTTCCGGAAAAAATACCGTTTCGTTTCCTTTCTATTCTAATTATAAGAGATGTATGTACTTCCGGTTTTGTGTGTTTACAACCTGTTACA